CAGTGGGCCAGAAATCGGCGGAGTCGGCCAAAATTCTAGACGCGTTTTGAGCTCCAGAGTCGCTAAATGGGACTCGAACCGACCGTGTGACCCCACCAATGGATTGCTCTGCGGACGGGGAATCCATTGGTGGGGTCACACGTTTGGTTCGAGTCCTGTTTAGCGACTCTGGAGCTCAAAACGCGTCTAGAATTTTGGCCGCCTCCGCCGGTTTCTTGCCCACTGTGCGCGGCGCTGAGGCTCTAGTCCGATTCCGGGGCCCGCACTCCTCGCTCTGTGTCCAGAGAGAGACAGGGCGACCGCTTGGCGCTTCCCGCTTGGCCGGCATGTTATCAGAAACAAGTCGCGTCTTATAAAGTGTCGGGTCAACGCACGGCGCGCACGGCCGGGCCGGACGGGTGCGGCGGCTGCCACCGCTGTGTCTCGGCGTGTCTCGGTGCAGACGGGGGGCGTCCGGGGACCGCGTGCCCGCCGCCGCGCAGCAGACTGACTCCGAGGGGAGCTTTCGTCGCTCTGTCTCTCTCGCACTCATCGGGCGTCACGTAAAGGTTCGAGAGAGACGGAGCGACGAAAACGACTTTCAGCATCAGGCTGGCCGGGAAGGCGGTGGTCAGGCCGAATCCCTGCGCGGCGCACAGTGGGCCAGAAACCGGTGGAGGCGGCCAAAATTCTAGACGCGTTTTGAGCTCCTGAGTCGCTAAACTGGACTCGAACCGAACGTGTGACCCCACCAATAGATTCCTCGTCCGGAGAGCAATCCATTGGTCACACGGTCGGTTCGAGTCCCATTTAGCGACTCTGGAGCTCAAAACGCGTCTAGAATTTTGGCCGCCTCTGCCGGTTTCTGGCCCACTGAGCGGCGTCCCGTCGCCCTGCCTCTCTCGCTCGACAGAGAACTCCCGTTTGGAATGAGTCTCATGGAGGATTATTGGCAGCACCCATACTGAGTGCGTAGCGGGGAGGGGGGGGGGTTGTAAGTCGCCCCCTGTGGTTCCCACTGAGCAACGGATCAGGAGGACGCCGACCGGGGTTTCGAAGCGAACCCTGGAATGCCGCCCGCCGCGGCCCTCGTGGGGTCATGCACGCCTTCTGCCTTCTGGTTTCGAACTGGACCGGCCCAGCATTGCCACACCGCACTCTACCAAAAATGTCCTGTCAATGACGTTAATTTATTACCAGTTTTCACTGTAGATCAATTCACAGCGTTTACTGTGATCTGCTCACGCGATTCACTGTGATCTTGTTCACGGTGTTCACTGTGATCTGGTCTACAGTAAACACTGTGAGTTTGACGCCGCTGAGCACCGAAGTACTGCAAATCAGGCTCCAATTCGCGGCGTTTACTGAGGCCAGATCACAGTGAACACTGTAACCGAGATCACAATGAACGCCGTGAACTAGTCCACAGCAAACGCCGTGAATTGCATTACAGCAAACATTGGTAATAAATTAACGGCGTTGACAGGACATTTTCTGTGGAGTGCGGGGGCCGTCCGTAAGCCACCCGTCTGTCGACACTCAGAAAGCCGGCCGAAAAATCAATTCCGCAAAGGTGGAGACGTCGGCATAGCTCGTCGCGTACGCACGGCAGGGCACGGCACGGCACGGCACGGCATGGCATGGCATGGCACGGCCGCCCCAGCGCCTCAATGCCAATGCCACGGCGTGGGAATAGGAACAGGAACAAGGCAGCAGACGACGCACGGCAGACGACGCGCCTTGCACCTCGCATAGCGCCGCGGCGCCGCGCCTGCAGACTCATTCCGAGTGTCGGTTTCGTCGCTCTGTCTCTCTCGCACCTACACGGGTCGCCCCAGGAGTGCGAGAGAGACAGAGCGACGAAAACGACTCTCGGAATCCGTCCGCTTCGGATTCAATCACTCATCAGTGCTCGCGCGGCTCGCGCGCGCTTTCCTCGCGTTGCGTTTTTATCGCCCCAATTCGGACTTTGCATTGTAGTGCACGGCGGGACGCGGCGGGATGACCTTGAAGGACACGCGCCTCTTTGCCGCATACATTACTGACCCATCGCGGCGGTTGTCACAGTTTGGCCGGTGCGGCCGAGCAGTGATAAATATGATAATGCGACGACGCGATAGGCCGACGCGGCACAGTGGGCCAGAAACCGGCGGAGGCGGCCAAATTTCTAGACGCGCGTTTTGAGCTCCAGAGTCGCTGAATGGTGCTCGAACCGACCGTGTAACCCCACCAATGGATCGCTCTCCGTACGAGGAATCCATTGGTGGGGTCACACGTTCGGTTCGAGTCCTGTTTAGCGACTCTGGAGCTCAAAACGCGTCTAGAATTTTGACCGCCTCCGCCGCCGGTTTCTGGCCCACTGTGCGCGGCGCTCTTCACACCAGCTTCGGACGACACCGGGGACGAAATTGGGCGCCGAGCTGCAGACTGATTCCGAGAGTCCTTTTCGTCGCTCCGTCCCTCTCGCACCTTCACGTGACGCCCCGTGAGTGCGACAGAGACGGAGCGGCGACGGCGACTCTCGGAGGGCCGCTGCTGGCGGCTGGGTTGTGTTGACCAGAACCCGGCCCAACCCTGCCACCGCCACATTCTCGTGATCGTCGACGTTCATTCATACGTCACGGGCGCTGCCGAACGATTCAGAAGATTGGTTTCTCGCTCTGTCTCTCTCGCACCCTTACGGAGAGCCCCATGAGTGCGAGAGAGACGGAGCGACGACGGCTGGCGGGACGCGGGAGGTCGGCCAGGGGGCAGCGCGGCCGGACTCAGCGCTCTGCGGCGCTCTGCGGCGCTCTGCGGCAACCACCGACCGCGTGGTCCCGGCAGACCGATTCCGAGAGTCGTTTACGTCGCTGTCTCTCTCGCACCCGCACGGGACGACCATCGAGTGCGAGAGAGACAGAGACTGTCGTTATTGTAACAAAAAGTATCATTTTCTGAGTGCGTCACTCGAGTTTACAGCAACGCTGTAGTCCATGCCGTCAGCGTCGACCCTTGCAACGAGCACCAGCCGTTCTGACGCAGCACGCGCCGTGACGTACGCTGGCGCACACGCACACACGTGTATAAAATACTCCATACTCGGGGGAAAGTTTCCTCGACCCATCATCACCTAGTAACACGGCACGCCCACCGGTTGCATCATTTGCTATTGCATGCTGCAGTCAGGTTCGGCGAGAAAAACAAATTGAAAAATATTAAAATTTTGTTGGCTTGGTTTGGCATCTTGCGTGAATCGGAAACGGAAACAGTGGCGGATCCAGAGGCGGCCATTGGGGAAAAGGCGGGCAATGTAGCACTTTTTATTCTACAGGGGCAACGTATGGCTTTTTGTCTACCGTAAGGTGGGGGAGCGTAGAAGCCCCCCCCCCCCCTGTAACCGCCCCTGGGCACGCCTGGGCCCAAACTACCCCAAAGGCGCTGACGCAGTATGCGTGCGGTTCGGGTGCCTATTCCCCAGGCGAGGTACAGTCAGTAGAAAGGAGCCAAGCTAATCCAGTGTAGTAGACAGCCAGTCATGAGTCACGACAGCGACGAGAGCAGGGCGACCGCGGACACCAAATCGCCTCAATGCGTGGGAAACGCCTGCCGCGGTCTACCGCGAACATTCGGAAAGTGGCCGCGATCCACGGTCACTACTCCTGCAGGGACACTGTACATCCAGGCACACTGCAAGAAAAAGTGTGGATAGTACAACAAAAGTGTAACAAAAGCTGTACAATAAAAGTACAACAGGGATTTATAGAGTACAACGAGAATTGTACAAACCACAACGAGGCCTGGACTGCCCAGCACTCGTCATGTCGGTTTGTACTTTGTACAACAATTGTTGTACTTGAAAAGTACACTAAATTCCCGATAAAAAAAAATTGCCAGAAATTTGTGTACTTTTGTTGTGGTTATTTCTTGCAGTGTACATCGCGATGAAACAGCATCGAAAAAGATTTCTGGGCCGTACAGTATGAATAAGAGCACCGACAAAAAGTTTGCCAATTTTGTCCGACAGTGAATTTTAAGATCACGCTCGTGCTGTGAAGGGTGTAATTTAAAAGAGAATTAGAGAGAATTTAAACGCCCCACCCACAATTCAGACATATACTCCAAACATAAATAAATTTGAAAAACTAGCGAATACATCATTATACTTAATTATTTTGATGATTTTTGTGTAAAGTGTCACCCGCTGAAAACGCGATTTTTAGCTCGCATGTTTGTGATAATATATACCGCGTGAGATACCAAAAAAAACATCGAGTACCACGCCAACCGCGCGGCAGTAAACGAAAGTTGTCGCCGCCACTGCCGCCGCCCTCCGCCGGGTCTAACAGGAATGTACTGGCGAGCTGCCCACCTCGTTGCCGATGAGATCAGAATCCACCCCTGCCTGCGCTGTCTGCGCTGCCTGCGCCCTGGCCGCGCTGCAACGCGCACCGCGCCGCCAAGAACGTCCCGTCCGTCCAGTGCCAAGAGCAAGCCGACAACAACATGGCCGGAACACACACACAGGGATCGCTTTGTCGCTCTGTCTCTCTCGCACCCCTACGGAACGCCCCATGAGTGCGAGAGAGACAGAGTGACGAAACGAACCTTCGAAATCGGGCGGCTGACGCACACAGTGACAGACACACGCACACAGACACACGTAAACGTCCAGTCGGCTAGATTTCAGCGCCACTTGAGTAGAAATTACACGGATGGGAATTCCCCGCAAAACGCTCCTGCCGCTCGGCTCGGCGCTGCTCGGCTCGGCTCGGCGGCGCGCGGAACGAGCCGGTTGGATTTCCCTCGTTGGTTTGGCCAGGCCGTTGGCGCCTTTGGCGCCTTTGGCCATGCCTTTGGCCATGCCTTTGGCCTGGCCAGGCGCAGTGCGGCCACTGCTAATTTTAGACGCAGGCGAACTGGCCGGCATGCATGCCGCCGGGCAGGTAGGCCTAAATCGGCTCGGAGAGGAACGTCCCCATTGTCCTCGCCAGGCTAGCACACTCGTAAACAGAGCGCCGATGGTGGCGGTCGCTACTCACCCAACACTTTTGCGACGGAGTGTCCTAAGGCGGAGTGTCCACCCGGCTTCGGCCGATCCCGCTCGAGGGCCTAGAGGAGGAAGAGACCCGTGCGGCGTCCGCGCGTTCCGCTCAGCTGCGGCCGCTGTGGGGTCACTGTCAGCTGACAGCGCCAGGGACCCGGCAGGCCATCGTCACGACACTGCGCCCGCGCTGGTGAAGCTGGTGGTGAAGGTGGTGGTGAAGCTGGTGACGATGGTGATGCACTGGCCGGCGAGGGTGCTCGGCTGCCTCGACTGCCCCGGCGTGTTTGTTGTCAACGCGTCCGCCACGCGCCGCGCCCGGCCCTGCACTGCACTGCCCTGGCACTGCCCTGGCACTGCCCTCCGCCAAATCAAAAATCCAAACTCGCAGCACTCGCGGCTCGCTGGCCCGGGTCGGCCGGGGTCATCGGTGGGTCGCTTCGATTGCTTCGATATCTCGAATCGTCTCGGCTCCTCGTCGTGCCTGGCGTCGTCTGCCAGCGTCGTCTGCTCGCCGGCGGCCACGCTGCGCGGCTGGCAACGGTCGGCAAGTGCAAGTCCACCTCGCGGGCCCGGTCGGCGTAGCGCACCTAGCCGCACCTCGCCGAGCAGTGCCCCGCCGCCGACGCGCCGCTCCACGCCACCACGCCACTGCACCACGCACCGCCCCAACGCCGCGACGTCCTCGGCTCCTCGCTCCGCGCTCCGTCACTCCGTCACTCTGCAGCGGACTGAAGCCTCCCGCCGCAGGCTGCCGCGGGCTGGCCGTCTCGGGCCTCGGGCTGGCGTAGGCCGCCGGCGCGACCGGAGGACAGGAGGACGGCAGACGCAGGCGGACCAGTCGAGCGATTCAACTCCTCGCTCTGTCTCTCTCGCACCCCTACGGCACACTCGTGAGTGCGAGAGGGGCAGAGCGAATCGCTCGGCACGGCAGGCCGCGGGGCCGCGGACGGGGAAAACAGCCGGCCGGCCCGCAATGCGTTGCTTCTCTTGGCCCGCCGGCGCCGGCCCCGGGCCCCGGAGTGCCCCCGGTAGTCCCGGACCCGGGCGGGGCGGGGCGGGGCGGGGCGGGGCGGGGCGGGGCGGGCGCGGCGGGGCGCGTCGTCTTCCTCGTGTCGCGGCCCCCTCCAATCGCCAAGCCCCCTTCCACCCTGCTCCACCTCGCACATGACCCGGTCGCTCGGGGTGCTGCAAGCTGATTCCGAACAGTGGTTTCGTCGCTCTGCCTCTCTCGCACTCATAGGGCGTGCGGCAAGGGTGAGAGAGACAGTCGTCAACGAAGCACGGCTTGGTGCGGAGTCGCTCTGCTGGGGTCGCTTGGTTCGTTAGGGGTGGACGAACATGCGCGAACATGTCATGAGGTCCGGCCCTAATCTCATGAACATGGAATACTTACAACTTTCCCGAAACCCCCGTTTTTAAGCGTCCAGATGTTTGGAGCGATGGCTCCCCTGCAGCTGGCCTCTCTGAACTCCTATCCTACGAGTCCTAGGTAAATCGGAAGTATGCAAAATCCGGCCGGACTTCCAAAAGACTGGTCCTAGCGGGCCGAAACAAAAGCAGAGAGGTTGCCGGCCGGGCTGAAGTGGTGTTGCTTGATTTCTGAATTCCGATACTTCAAACTTGACTCGCGGTATTCATCGACCACCACATGAAAACCACTTGGAAACTCCAAACCACGTTTTGGCCACAATCGAGTACTGGGAACGTGCCGGACTACTGAGCCGGAATTACACTCGCAATGCCGTGCCCCATTACCCCCACCTCTCTTACATTTTATTGTCCTTTTGGCGACCACTGCGAATTTGTCACCCTCTTCATTCAGATTAATCTGCGGCTTTGGCGCGCTTTGCGGAAGAACCGGATGCAAGTAAATCAGCAGGTTTCCTCTGTTTGGCTGACACTTCGTGACACCGGGCGTGCGGGCCGCAGGGACGCGACGCGTCGCGACGCCTGCACGCCCCTGGCATTGAAAATGGCCTTTAAATTAAACAGCCGGTTGCCTAGGCAACACGAGTTGGCGAAGCAGGCGAAGCATCGGAGCAGCGAGGCAGCACCACGATGATTGGACGCGTCGCCGCGCCTGGGGAAGATTAAGAAAGCATCAATAATCCGTGTCGCCTGCTCCCGCTCTTCATGCCTCAGCGTTCGTTGGTTCATTCATTCATCATTCTTCATTTGTTTCCTCGTCATTGTTTTCATGATTTCATCCACTGAATCATTCTTCAAGCAGTTCATTCATTCATTCATTCATTCATTCATTCATTCATTCATTCATTCATTCATTCATTCATTCATTCATTCATTCATTCATCCATTCATTCATTCAGGCATTCATTCATTCAGGCATTCATTCATTCAGGCATTCATTCATTCATTCGGGCATTCATTCATTCATTCATTCATTCATTCAGGCATTCATTCATTCATTCATTCAGGCATTCATTCATTCGTGCATCATTCATTCATTCGTGCATTCATTCATTCATTCGTGCATCCATCCATTCATTCATTCGTGCATTCATCCATTCATTCATTCGTGCATTCATTCATTCATTCATTCATTCATTCATTCATTCATTCATTCATTCATTCGTTCGTTCGTTCGTTCATTCATTCGTCCCACGATCATAATGTTGACTGATTCAACACTGCAAGTTCAGGGAACGGATCCGACCACCGTTTCGTTCATTCATCCATTCATTCCCATTCATTGGCATTCATCGACGACAGGTTCGCTTCGGACGTAATGGGCTTGTTTTCCAGGCGCTCCATTGGTCACCGGCGACTCGCGGCGCGATCTATTGCCGTGAGTCTTCAATGGCGCCACCACCGCCAAATGACCCCCCCTCCTCTCTTCGTTTCCCCTCCTTCCCTCACGGCAGTCTATTAGTAGCAGCCTCAGCGTCTCTCTATCATAGCGTGAATCAGACGCGTCGCCAGCAGCGCCAATTAGCAGCGTAGCGGCGGCGCACGGTGGGCCAGAAGACCGGTGGAGGCGGCCGAAACTCTAGACGCGTTTTGAGCTCCAGAGTCACTAAATGGGCCTCAAACCGAACGTGTGACCCCACCAAAGGATTGCTCTCCGAACGAGGAATCCATTGGTGGGGGTCACACGGTTGATTCGAGCCATGTTCAGCGAGCCTGGAGCTCAAAAAGCGTCTAGAGTTTTGGCCGCCTCCACCGGTCTTCTGGCCAACTGTGTGCTGCGGCGGCGTGTCGAGTACTTCAAGTTTCTCATACCGCTCACTCGTCCCTCCAGAAAACCAGAGACGCTTGCCGCCGACGGGGATTGAGGATCCAGCAGACTGATTCCGAGAGTCGTTTTCGTCGCTCTGTCTCTCTCACACCTACACGGGCCGCCACACGAGTGCGAGAGAGACCGCAGGCCTCATTCATGGTCTCCATTGAGCGCGTTCCGCGACGCGGCGACGCGGCCCGGCAATCGGCACGCGACACTATCAGCGGAGCGATTCGCGGACTCGCGTGTCTCTCTCGCTCTCACGGGACGTCCCCCAGGGGTGCGTAGCAGAGAGAGAGAGAGAGAGAGAGAGAGAAGGCGACGAAGCGCTGTTCGGCTTCAGCCTCCAGCAAGTCGTGGAAGAGACACGCGTCGACCTGCAGCGCCGTGGGGCGCGACGCCCGTTTCGAACCAACTTTGTGTAAAACACAGATGAGGCAGAAAAGTGCCAAGATTAGCTCGGCTGCCCTGGCGTTTCTAACTCACTTTCTTGCCTCAGCATGACACCTTGTTTACGGCCTCAAAATCCGACATCAAAGTCCCGCCGGCACAGTTAGGCAAAGTTAGCCTGCGCCGCGCGCCTCGGCCGGGAAACCGCGCCGACCTGTTGCCTTTTCTCGCAATAATTTTATTTTTTAAATAAATTATACATAAATTAATGTGGTCGCTCGGCTAAGCAGGAAGTCGAATGACGGGTTCGAAGTTTAAATCGGAATATCGCGGACGGCGGTCGTCCAGCCGAGAGATCCCGAAGCGTCGCGTCGTCGCTCTGTCTCTCTCGCTCCCCTAGGGCACGCCCCATGAGTGCGAGAGAGACGGCGACAGCGGCTCTTCGGAATCAGCACGCGGCGTGGGAGACGCTCGCACCTCGCGACGTTCCGCGCGTCCGCATCGCTTCGCGGCTCCGCGCGTCGACAACAACGCCTTGAGCGCGGCCGCGTGCCTTGCCCGCCCGCCTTGCCGCTGGCCGTCGCGTCGCGCCAGATCCAGTTATTCGATTTGCCTTCCGCGCGGTCGCGGGATCGAATCCCGTTCCAGCGCCGATTTCAGCACCCGCTTTCCCGCGCCGACGTCAGGCCGTCCGACACCGTCAGGCGTCAAGGCGCCTCAAGGGGAAAACCGGGAACGAGACGGAGGCTGCCGCCTGCATCCGAAGGAACGTTCCGTCGCTCTGTCTCTCTCGCGCCCCCAGAGGACGCTCCATGAGGGCGACAGAGACAGAGCGACGAAACGATCCTTCTGAATCGGGTAGCTGTCACGCGGTGTTCCCGTCCTGTCCTGCTGCTGCAGGCCGATTCGGAGAGTCGTTTTCGTCGCTCTGTCTCTCTCGCACTCGCAGGGCGTCTCGGAAAGGTGCGAGAGGGGCAGAGCGACAAGAAAGACTGTCCGAATCAGTGTCCTGTCGGTCCGCTGATCCATCGGGCTGGCGGTGACGTCATTCGCATCATCCCCGGGCGCGCGTCAGAGGTGGCGGGGCCAAGGCGCACAGTGGGCCAGAAGACCAGTGGAGGCGGCCAAAACTCTAGACGCGTTTTGAGCTCCAGAGTCGCTAAACGGGACTCGAACCGAACGTGTGACCCCACCAACGGATTCCTCGTTCGGAGAGCAATCCATTGGTGGGGTCACACGTTCGGTTCGAGTCCTGTTTAGCGACTCTGGAGCTCAAAACGCGTCTAGAGTTTTGGCCGCCTCCACCGGTCTTCTGGCCCACTGTGCGGCGGACGGGACGGACGCAGGCTGGTCGCTCTGTCTCTCTCGCACTCAGTGGGCGCCCTCTGTGGGGGTCCCTGTGGGGGTGCGAGGGAGACAGAGCGACGAGGCGCTGTCCGGAATCGGCCTGCAGAGGGACAGTCTTGCTCCTGTTGCAGTGTGCCGCCGGCCTGCCTTGCCGCCCTGCCGCCCTGCCGCCCTGCCCCGCACAGGCTCTGCGCCGCCGCGGCGCGCCGAGCCAAACGCATGGACCGGAACGCAGGAAGTATTAAAGGGCGTTATGCAAGGCGGCCACAGCGACCACGTGTTGGCGGTGCTGCAGACTGAGATTCACTCTGTCTCTCTCGCACTCATGTGGCGTCCGGTGTGAGTGTGAGGAGACAGAGCGACGTAAACGACTATAATTTCGGGATTAGTCTGCAAAAGTGGTGGAAGCCTTGCAACAAGGCAGCAGGCTGTGACTTACTCCGATCTGAAAGTCGAATTCGCACTCGGGCGTCCCCGCGTGTGAGAGAGACAGAGCGATGAAATGGACTCTCGGATTCCATGCACGGGGTTGCTAGCTCGAGTCTTTCTTTGCCTGAGGCTGAAGACGGCCCCGTGCTGGGGCTTGGGGCGTTGACCGCGGTGGAAGCAGTGGACCAGGTTGCATCAAAGGCGCCAGTCGACAGTATCGAAGGACACACACCGCGACGCACCGCGCACGACAGTGGGCCAGAAGACCGGTGGAGGCGGCCAAATTTCTAGACAAGTTACGTCATCGTCGCTAAATGGGACTCGAGCCGAGCGTGTGACCACACAAATGCATTGCTCTCCGAACGATCAATCCATTGGTGGGGGTCACACGTTCGGTTCGAGGCCCATATAGCGACTCTGGAGCTCAAAACGCGTCTAGAGCTTTCGCCGCCTCCACCGGTCCGCTGGCCCACTGTGGGGCGCCGCAGCGAGGCACGTCCGAACCAAAGAGAATGCCGCATCGTCCATGCCCACGCTTTTCCGCAGGGTCGTTTCGTCGCCCTGTCTCTCTCGCACCCCTTCGGAGCACCCAACGAGTGCGACAGAAACAGAGCGACGAAAGGACTCTTCGAAGTCTGTCTGCTGCGGAAAACATTTCGTGAGTACTGGAGGTGAAGCTGGTGTTCCCCAGGGCCCCAAGATACCCCCCGCGACCACTTGATACCGCTTGATACAGGAGTCACCGCCGAGCGGTCAAATGCTTCCCGTCCCGAGGCGTGCTTGTTTCTCAAAGTTTCGCCTTCACCGCGGTCCGAACTCGTAATTGCATTTCCACGAAGAGTCCCGTCCTGTGACGTTGCGTGAAACGTGCACCAAGTCCGTCACGACGCGCTCCGCCGTGACGCGGTCGTGACTTGGTCGTGACCCGCGTCACCGCACGCTGCCGCCCTGGCGCCGAACGCTGCCGATCCGTCCCTCCCGCACCTCCGGGGAACGCCCCGCAACGCCCCGTGAGAGCGAGAGGGACGGAGCGCACAGTGGGCCAGAAGACCAGTGGAGGCGGCCAAAACTCTAGACGCGTTTTGAGCTCCAGAGTCGCTGGTACTCGAACCGACCGTGTGACCCCACCAATCGATTACTTTCCGAACGAGGTATCCATTGTTGGGGTCACTCGTTCGGTTCGAGTCCCATTTAGCGACTCTGGAGCTCAAAACGCGTCAGAGTTTTGGCCGCCTCCACGGTCTTCTGGCCCACTGTGGGGCGCGTACAGTGCCGTTCGGAAGCGGCCGGCCGGTCGGTGTCAGTCACCGGCCGGTTGGCGCGGGGGTGCCTCGGTGTTGTTGTTGTTGTTGTTGATGTTGTTGTTGTTGTTTGAGCGCACATTGTGCTCGCCGCGGGGCGGTGACGACTGGTGACGACATACCGGGCGCCCGGCCCCCCGTGTTCTATGGGCGCATGGCGGCGCATGGCCCATACCCCGAGCGGCGGGCGGGCGGCGGCGCCCGCCGCCCCGGCCCATCATAGCCCAGGCTCGCTCAGGCCGCTCAGAGTTCTCCCGACAAGGGGGAAGGGGGAGGGGTCGGGTTGTGTGTGTGAATTGTGTCTATTGTGTTATATTATGCCTACCTACAACATACTTACATGCCTACAAGGACCCCAAAGAGAACAAGGTGGCCTAGGTGAGGCCACAATAAGGTCTGAGGGTGTCATTCTGACGTTCAATTGATATCCTTTGACATCGATTTGACCTCTGGACTTTGAGTTGCTGTTCTCCCTGGGGTAGGTGTTGCGGGTTGCCAATTGCGAGGCGCTCCAAAAATTTAACCGGGGTAGTCGGGTAGCCTCTACCTACCTGATGAAGCGAGCGAGCACACCAGCAAACTGATTCCGACAGTCAGTTTCGACGCTCTTTCTCTCTCACACTCACGGGGCACAGTGGGCCAGAAGACCGGCGGAGGCGGCCAAAACTCTAGACGCGTTTTGAGCTCCAGAGTCGCTGTGCAGGACTCGAAACGAGCGTGTGACCCCACCAATGGATTCCTCGTTCGGAGAGCAAGCCATTGGTGGGGTCACACGTTCGGTTCGGGTCCCATTTAGCGACTCTGGAGCTCAAAATGCCTCTAGGGTTTTGGCCGCCTCCACCGGTCTTCTGGCCCACTGTGCGGGGCCTCGCGAGAGGGAGTGACCAAAACACTCTGGGCATCAGTCTGCAGCACGTCAGACGGCCCGGCGTTTGCGGCGCGACTCCGCGTTCCGGTTGCGTAAACAAAGTAGTAAAGCGCAATCAGTTTGCGCTTGGCCAGCTTGGCCAGCTTCGCCCGCCTCGGCGCCGCGCCGAGCCTAGCCGAGCCTTGTCAACAAGTAATGGCGATGGCGCGGCCTCGGGAAAAACCGGATACCGGCCGACCGACGCGGCGGGCGGTAAGGCTGGGTAAGGGCGATGCGGCGGCGCGGCGATCCGGATCGGCAAACAAGTTTATCCGGATTGCGACGGCCGTGCGTCATGCGGTCATGCGCGCCGGCTGGGCGTGCTGGGCCTTCGCCAGGCCTTAGCCTTCGCGCGCTCCATTGTTTTGGCAGAACACACCGCGCCGTTTGTTTTGAACCGGTGTCGTGCCGGGGGCTGCGCGGCGAAGAAGGGATCGACGGGGTCCAGAGACGGGTTCAGGGGCCCCAAATGGCGCACGACCATTTGTGGTCGAGCCTTCAAGTTCAAGTTCAAGGAGGGTAACGTCGCGAAAGTTGCATACATACAGGGGCAAAGAGCGACCTTCCGGCTGTGTGAGGAGCGACGCTTCCATCGGCCCCTGGATCCGCGCCTGGTGGACCCGTCGCACACTAGGCCGGCCAGACGACCGGTGGAGGCGGTCAAAATCCAATGGCTTGGGGTCCGAACGGGGAATCCATTGGTGGGGTCGCACGTTTGTTTTGAGTCCTGTTTATCGACTCTAGAGCTCAAAATGCGTCTAGAGTGTTGGCCGCCTCGAGGGGTCTTTTGCAGGGTTGTTTAAGTTAATTTAACGATTAACGACGATAATCGATTTTCGATAAGTTAATTTAACGGTTAACGTTAACTCGATAACATCTTGCAGACCAGTTATCGTTATCGAGTTATCGTTAACACAATCCCGGTTAACTTATCGATTAACTAAAGTAACTAATTCCCCCAAAACGTAGAAATGCACGCAAAATTTTTCAGCAAAAGCGTTTCTCACGTTCGTACTTTTGCGCCGCTGGCACTCGGCCGTGCCCAACTGCCGGCCCCAACGGTAGTGGTAGTCAAGTCAGTACTGGGAGTAAGTCGTCGCTTGTCACTAGTAACGCGCTAGTCAGTCAGTATAAGTTTGTAAAATTTTCAATTTGAATCTTTTTAACTCCCTATTCCTCATTGTATTCATTTTATCATTTAATAAAGATAGGTAATGCACCTGGGATTCCCAGGATCCCTATGTGATAAGGTATAGGAGTTTCCAGGAGATTCCTGGGATCGTTAAAAGTAACTTATCGATAACTCGATAACGTGGCCGAGAGGTGTTAACGTTAACTAGTTATCGTTAACAGGGGTCGGAAATTAACTTAACGATAACTCGATAACCAAAAAAATTAACTTTAACAACCCTGGTCTTTTGCCCCACTGTGCGTCGCATAGCCGGCATGGCCCGCATGCGAGATGCCGGGCCGGGCGACGGGGAATTCCCTCACAGGTTTCCCTCGCAGGCTGGAAGCATCGGCGCTGAACGTCACTCAGATGATGGCCCACATATTGCAATACGGCTTGGATCGTTCTTCTCCAAACTTTGAGTGACACCTGCCCCACGTCGTGAGCATGGGACGGGACGGAAAGGAAGGTGAAGGCGACTTCCTCCAGGGCGACGCGGGCTCCCCCTAGCGGAATGCGGCTGAAGCACATAGCGCAATGCAGTCCTGCAACGGCACGGCCCGGCAGCAGACGGCAAAGTGTGGCTTCTGCTGCGGCGTTGCAGACGATACCACTTTTATGGTTTATGGTTTAATGGAGTATTTCATTCACTTCTGAATAGTTCTTGAGCGGTCTCGGGACTTGGGATTCGTATTTAGTGCAGTGACGTTTTATTTAGGTTGTTTGCTACTGTACTACGAGTAAGGGCATGTGTATCTTTTGTAAACAAACCGAGTTCTGGTCAATACCAGGGCCATTCTTGGCATAGCTTATCCCAGAATTAGACTGCATTAAACAAACTTTACATTTTGATTATTTCAGATGATTATTTCGACTGAAAGCTCACCTCACCATAGCAGAATGATATTCAATTGAGCATAACTCAGATAGAAGAGCCCACTGGAGTTTACATAACCTACTGTTTTTCTAGTGTGAATATTCTGTCATCAAAAACTCTAAGCAATGGACCAGAAACTACTTTATGCCTTCCGTGGATGGATTGCATTCATTGCTTTTATGGATATGGGAACAGCTGTAAGATGCCTTATTGAAAAGCGTTCCATTCTAGGGGAACAATCCTTCACAAAAATAGATAATTTGAGTCAACAGCGTGGTAAGTGCTGTTTATTGCATTTTTGTGCTGTTTATTTTTTAAGAAATTTTTTTAACATTTATATTATCTGGGTTTGGCAGATGATTCTACACTTCCCAGAATTCTTGGAGCCTATTCGGTTCTGAAAGCTTTAGCTCTTATTCATTGTACTCTCTACATCCATTACAAACCGTGAGTAAAATTTAGTTTCATGACTTTAAATGAACGGAAGTAAACGTAATAGGGTCAATGCTCATGCTGTTGGTTTCTTTTTCTAGTGTTGTGAGTATGGGAATTTGCTCACTTGTCTTGACTCTGCTTGTTTACATCTCTGAGGCTTTGTATTATCAGTCAACAACATTCAACTTTTATGTACTGTTTCCTTGTGTGATCAATTGTAAGTTAATTTCTAAACCAAGTAGTGATGTGAAAAGAAACTGCGAGATTGTTCAAACTGGCTTTCTATTCCAGCTTTGACACTTTTGGGCCTTTGGTTCTTACCTCGACGCCTTCTTGAAGCAGATCCAGTGACTACAGATGAAAATGCTGAACTCCTGAAGATGGCTGGGGGCATGCGTAGGAGACGTGCACCTAAAGTGAAGGCTGATGGTTAAGTTATGTCTTCCATAATGTCTCAAGACCAGTAATTGCATTTTAGATTACCTGAAAGTTCTGATTCAAAGTGGCAACACTGGCTACTGGCTAGTGCAATTTTCTAGTCATTTTTAACTATTTTAATTTTTAAAAGAAATGTTTTTGTGATCTTGTTTTGCTTGACTGACAATTTTTACTTTTTGTGTTCCATGTTTCCCTTGCTTCACAACACTTCAAAGCAGTCAATTATTAACACCCATTAGTTATTTACTTGTGAGCCGAAATGTACAGCAAACGTTGTTTTCCCTATTTAGTGTACTCGTTTTTACTTTTTTATTTGCTTTATTTATTTTGTTATCATTTTTTCACTAGTATTACATTTTTATAGTTTTTCTTACGACTGTCCTAAACAACCTTATTGCATTTTCTCAGCACTTGTGGTGTTTCTAGGTTGCTTAATTTGCTTGAAAGTTTGTTTAACTTTTTGACAGGATGGTAACGTATTGTTCCGGGCATTTTACTAATGCAGATGCTAGTCATGTGATTGCACATATCAAGGATGTACAGGAGATTTGAGGGTATTTTTCCTGTAGGAAGTGTACCAACTCAATTGGAGTTATTATCTTCATGTAAAGAGAGGTGACATGTTATTTTAACAATAAGCACGGATTACAAAGTTGACCATTGGTGAGGGCAAAAAGGACCAATTTTTGAATGTTATGTTTAAAAATTTGAAGGCCCCATCCCCTTTACCAGTTGTACCTTTTGTTGTGGATCTGCTAGAACTGTTTATTTGTGATAGACATGCCTGGGTTTTGTGTATTGTGTAGTTCGTTTCCTAGTCTGTAGCTTGTCACTAGTTTAAATAAAATGTTGTCAGCGAAGTATCTAAATAGATTTTTCCCATAATTGAGAGCAGTTTTCCACTATAGTTTATAAAGTAAACAATAATTCTGACATTGCAGAAAGGCTGACAATTTTTGTTCTTCAATGAAGTACCGGATAAATTTATTATGTACCATGGAGTACATTGTAGTGTGCCACAGCTAAAAGCAATAATTTAGAAAATAAGAGTCATTTTGTGTATGGAGGTACTGTTATTGCAATAAAGCAAAATGCATTCTGTGATAGGTCCTGCTCATGTTGTAGTGTATTTTGATTGTTTTTACTAGTTTATGACAATGCCACTACATTAGAGCATCTGTAGACAACAAGAATTCATAGCCGATCTTGAGAGGTTTTCAAAAACCACCATGTAAGAATGACATTTCTTCCCAGCACATAAGCAGTGTCGTTCAGTGCAAGGTGCCTGTGTTACAGGGTAGGCAAGGGGAAAAAGTACAGTAACAAAAAATTGTTCTTCTGGAAACTGTGCTTAAAGAGTCTATCTGGAGGAATGATTTGTCACCTTTGCGATGTGTGAGCTAGGCTCAATTCCGGAGACAATGATGCCTTTATTTGACTTATCTACTAATTTAAAGGATATCCATAAAACTGTTTAACAAATGGAGGTTGTGGAGTTCTTAGTTTATCTATAGTAAATAAGGGTTTTCATTCAATGTGGAGGTTAGCAATATGTCGTTATATCTTGACAACTTGTTGAAATTGTTTGAATATTTTTCAAATTGTAACAACCTTATATGTTCTTTTGTACTTTGTAAGCACAAGCAACTAAAACTATTGACAACGAGTAGGAAAATAAAGTGTTATAAAATTGTAACAAACAATATTCATTTATTATTCCATTCAAAAATTTCATTATATAGAACCAAATTCTAATAACATGCACACACTCATTCATTCAAAGGGAAAAAAGTCAGTTGGAAGAGAGAATACAACATTTACAACAAAACATACACAAAAAGTAGTACACAACCTCAAAAAATTCAGCACTAGCCTTCCATAGAAATCTTGAGCAGTGAAGTCTGAAAAATATATCATGGTACCAAAGACTGTCTCACAGAACAAAATTATTTTTTTTTTCATTTTACATTAGGCTTGGAAACAAATTTTACTGTGTTAGAGCTTAGAGAAAGTATGACAAGGAAGATGAAATCAATTCAACATCTAGTTGTCTTTGAGAAACAGACTTATCATTAATGGACACACAAAGCACACAACATGAAACACACTTTCATTTTCACAAGTAGACTTGAAAAATATGTAACAAAGCTCTGAGAGCTAAAAAGAAATTATGCAGATTTTACATGGAATGTGTAAATTACTATCAGCTTTTTCTAGCTACAATCACAACATCAATAAAACAGAAATATTTACAGATAATTTTTTGTTTACCACCATGTACATCACTTTTCCTGTGGATTTAGTCAGACGCAATTGATCAATGGTAGCAAAAAGACAACGCACATTAAGACTGGGCCCATAAAATACACATAATATTAAATGGAGTGGGGGAATAAGTAAATTTACGGCATTTTTAACAGTCAACAAGACATTGAAGAATGCAAACAACCAACACCTGTGAGTCATTTTAAAGAAAAGGGCAAGGGAAAGACTAAAAATGGTTTGGAATTGTTCATAAAATTGACACAAAGCTAACATAGAAGCAAGGATCTTAATGAAGAGTTAACCTTAAGTTTGAGCTCAGTCTTTAACTTAAAAGAAAACATTTTATAATACTGTACATGGAGCAAACACTTTGCACTTAACACGTACATCTATCTAAAAATAATTGGCATGCCATTGACAATTACAATGACACAATCAATATGCATTTCAAAATGGATGCAAGAGTATGACAAAGTATTTAACACGCACAGCAGGAATGATAAACTGTGATATTTACAAGTTCATTTGCCAACACAACCTTTAGTGTCGTCCATAAATGATCTTACTGATAATAAACTTCCACACCACACATTAAAAATCATCAAATATTAAGCCATCAGGGTACCCTGTTTTCAGTTCAAACCAAGTGTGGCTAAGATACATTCAAGGTAATACAGTAGTTAAATTGTAAAATAAAAATATACGTAACAGAGTAACTGGCCAGATAGCAATTCATTTTTCTCTCACAATTCAGTCACCTAGCACATATGAACATGCGAGATCCCCTCTTAACTCCTTTAGAATATATCTATAACTCTTTTGAAACATCATGTTTGAACATTCAACCAGAAACAAAAGTTCAAAACAAAAAAAAAAAAAACAAAAAAAAAGGGGAAAGGGGGAGTTAGACTTTGAACAACAACGACGCACAGATACATACACTCACACACACACACACACACACACTTACAATTGCAGGATTTTCCTCACTTCACATGGTGAGTCTTAGTTCATTCTTAATAGCATATTCATTCATAGAAATCAACTGAACATGATATGATTACTATAATTCATGAAAAGCTGCACCTTGCCCGATCACGGCAATAACCTTAAGATAATAATCATGGAAATACTTTTGATGATGGGAAAACTTTGGCCTAAGCACATGGTGTGGGTCATAACACCATGTTAACAAATGAGGTTAAAGATAATCAGTAAGTATTTCTTGCAATGACTATTTTTGTTGAACATGCAAATTTGTTTCTATCGAAAATGAAGAAAAGATAGGTCTGAACAAAACTACAACTGAAAGGAAATCTTGAAACCATCTTTAAATTAGCTGATATTTTGGCATGAATGTTTTGAAATGACTAAAAATTGAAAAGCAACAAGCAGAATGTTGTCTCTTGTGTGGATGGGCCTCCGAAATTCAAGTCATTTACTGGTTGACACTTTTGAACTCATGCCACTCAATAAAACCGTCTCCATTTTTGTCCATCTGCTGAAGAATTGGATCCACCATTTCTTCAAGCGCAGAGTCAGGATGAGATGGGGGTGGATGATGTGAGTCTTCATGAGAATGGCCTGCATCTGCTGCATCTTGTTCTAAAGAGGAGACCCAGAAGAAAAACAAAATTTGTTAGCAACATTCCATAACAAACATTGTGAACACAGAAAGCATTTTAAGGCACTTTAGGGGCAAAACAAAGCTCAAGACAAAGAGTTAATGCTCAAAATAACAAAGAATCACATTATTATTTTAAGACATGCCAAGCCTCCCCAACATTGCATGCTACTGAAGGAACCAAGGCAAACTTCAGCTCAACTGAAAATAAAAAATAACAAATGAAATTGGGAAAATTGGTCAGAATTTGGGAAAAAGAAGTGGAAAGGGAAAGGAGGAATTCCAGAAAAGATACAGAAAAGATCAGTTCTAGGACACCACGCGCCATTGCTAAAAATTTCACCACATGGATACAACATCTACAGGAAAATAATATCCTTGTCCCCAGAAATTAATGTCTACACAAAAAAATACTACAAGTGCATAAATTTACGAAAATTTGGTAAATCACCTTGCTGATGCGCTGGTTATTATGGGGTTTATGTTCGAGGTGCATTGGCACCAGCAGCGGCAGCCTTGTTCTGAGCACGAACAAATTCCGGGTAGTCAATGAAACCATCTCCATCAGCATCATCCATATTCATGATAGGATCAATGAGGGCTATGAGCTCGTCATCTTTGAAGATCTTCTCTTGGGGTGGGGGATGGGCATGTTGTGCAGCAGGCTCCTTATGTCCCTGTTCTGTTTCCCCGAGCACACACACATACATATAAACAAAATGACACACAATGCTCATAAAAAAAAAGCAGACAACACTTGGCAATCAGTGGACGGCACAAAAGCTAATGCAAGAAGCATTTACTAGTAATTGAACTTAAATTTAACATGGGGGTAGTAAATTAGAAGAAAAGTTTTTAAAGAACAAGACACCCCTGTTAGAAATTTAAAATGTTGTTTTTGCAAGCAAAACACTCTGAAGCAACTCGGATACTTTTCTTTCTTATTTCTTAAGTAGCACATTCTCAAACTCAATATTTATTGTATGACTGATAAATGCACACTTACCATGCCAGTGAATTAGAGATTTAATGAGTTCACATCCATCTAATTTGTTGTTGTTATCGGCATCATGCATCTTGAAATAATGGAATTGTAGCTCTTGATCGGTCATCTTCGATGTATCAATCGGAACTTCCATATGATCTTGAATATGCCTGTGCAAATATTCATCAAATAATGATCGCTGAGCCATAATTCTTTAACTTGAACTTAATCTTAAACTTCAATTGGCAAAGCCATATGATGGAGTTCCAACCACACCAACACCATATCTGGAGATGAGGGGTTTGGTTATGGGGATTCAACCTAACAGTGTATTTCAGAAAGGGGGAAATTGATGCCGTAAATGTTAAATGTCTAAAAAGAATCAAGGACATTGATGGTTACTGAAACAAATTTAAGGCAATCATTTCAGGAAAAAGTCAATTTTCCTTCATAATTTGTACACCTGAGTGTTAACTTGTATCAGTACAAACGGACCCTTCATCTTGTCTCTTCTGCTGGCTGAACACTGATTAAGATCCTATCGGCCCAGCATTACTTGCATGCTTCTAAACATTGTTTAAATCAATTACCAATAATCCATAATTCAATCAATAATAGAACGTTTTTAAACTTGGGCTCTTGGGCCTTGAGTTCTCGCTCTGCCTGGTATCATGAGAAAACACTAAAAAATTGTTTAAAACTTACTGCTTTTCTTGAGCAATGTTGGCAGCATTCAGGATTTGGGCCTGAGGGTGATGACCATGGGGCTGTCCATGCTGCTGGACCGGCTGCCCATGGTGTTGCACATGCTGCGGTTGCTGCATGTTTTGGACGGGAACTTGTTGGTGATGAACTTGCTGTGGCACCTGGTACTGTTGTTGAGGAACTTGCTGAAATATGAAGAAAAGAACAGCATGGTAAAATATGAAAAACCTCCTTAAAAAAACCCATTAATTTTTCTTAAAATTTCACAAACAATTTTTGAATGAAATTAAATGACAGAAATGTCATTTTAACAACAGAGAAACATGAAAATTCAAAAAAGGAACAATAATGGCCAAGCGAGCGCACCTGCATTTGGGGAACTTGTTGCATGTGCATTTGCTGCTGAGGTATGTGCTGAGGAACATGTTGCATTGGATCCTGGCAAAGCACGAGCAAGCATGAAAGCACTCACACAGACATAGATTACACAATGCAATGGTTAAAAAAGACAAAACAAATAAAAGGATATAGAGGAAAGAGACATAAAATACAGCAATATGGTAGAGAAGATGCTACAACAACTCATGAACTTCAAGAGTAAACATAAACAGGTGAAATTTAGACAACTAGAGCGGAAGTTTTGTAAGGATACGGAAATGCAGATAAGAGAGTAAGAAGGAATTTCTAAATGGTTTACAGCGTAACAGCTTAGTACCAAAAGACATCATGTTGCCTCACATCCAGCTCACCTGGTACTGTTGAGGGTTAACACCAGGAGCTATCCTTTGCTGAGCATTGCTCAGGGCGAAAAGGCTTAAAAGGAGACCCAAATACGAAGCCACCAACATCTTGAGGCTGAAATACACAATATAATCATGATTATTTATTCTGTCAAGGTCCAGCAACAAACAGATGAGCAGAAGAATTAAACATAATCAAAAACATATTCTTCTCCGCACGCAAGAAAAAAAATGACAACATCTATAAAGGTTGGATGAATAATAATTCTGTTTAGAAAATGGACTAAATTTGAATATTTTTGTATATGAGCAGCAAATCACAACTACATAACCTGATAAAATGTACCATATTGACTACCTTACTACTGCTATGAAACAAAACCGTGGAGTGTACAACAAAGAAAGAGGATGAAAATTAGACTTTGAATGTAACTTTTAAAGTTTCCAGTCCTTGAATGTTAACAAGTGATGACAATATGTAATTTCCATCTGTCATTTCTCACCTGGCCGGTAACCTACGTGTACAAGACACGACGGACGCCACAGTTCGCACCTGCACCCTGCACCCCGTACCGAAACCAAATCGCCCATTGGAGGTGGGGATAAGCACAGCACGCTTGATGTGAGGAGACCCCATAATATGAGAAACGAATCGGTACCTGGTTTTATACCACTTTAAGTTGATGTTCAGCTGCTTTCAGTGGCTATACCTTTTGCGAAAACTTCATTGAATCAGGAAACTCGTCTTCCCCACTCCCAAAACCTTATTAGGAGCTTCCGAATAGTGCTGATCCAACTTTTTGTAAAGGCATCGGTAGTGTAGACGAGCTATACTTGATGGAGGGGGAAGTTGAAGGCCCAAACTCAAAAGAGCGTGTTTATGTTTGACTTACGCGTTTAAGGTTAGATATTTTTATTATTTTCATTATTATTTTCATTTTGATGTCATGTAGCCATAATTCCATGTATCGTCAAAGTAGGGGTTCGCAGCTGAAAATTGTCAATTTTCCTTCTGTTTTTCCTTATCTTAAGAGCACTTTCGAACATTTAGGCATGATCCTTGTAATGTAATGTAGCCTAACCTATCTTTCCCGGTTTTTCAAATTCTATATTTTCTAAGATCTGCTTCCTGTCATTATTTTGTGTAGATATTCTTCTTGCGTCATTAATCTCCAATGGAGCAGAATAAAGAAACAGCTGTGAAGACGCCTATGGTGTACATTTGTGGAGGTGAGCTCTTATCCCTACTATTCTCTCAAACTGTTAAAACTAATTTTGGTGTATTCATATTGCGGTTTTTGATTTTTCAGAATGCCACCATGAAAACGAAATTCGTCCCCGAGATCCTATCAGATGCAGAGAATGTGGTTACCGAATTATGTACAAGAAGAGAACTAAACGATGTATCCTTTTTGCGACGCTATTGCACCTCCGAACCCTTTCCCATTTCATCAGATGTCATAAGAGTTGACCAGCAGTTTATTAGTTCTGTAATTGTATTTCCGTCCAAGTCTCATCCCAGGGCCGCTTAGCGCCTATCGCAAAGGCAGTAATTTAGAACCTCTCTCTCTCTACATAATGGTCTTGAAAGATTCGTCAAATTTTGTCTTTGCAATTTTAACAAGGTTTTGTTTTTGCTATAAATACTCTCATGAGAATCTTTGTTGCCAGGAACAATCACATGTTTCTGTCATCTAATCATCGTTTTTCACTTTTATTAGTTACTGTATCAAATTCCTTTTAGTTACTGCTTGTAAACTGTTGTTGATGTTCTGATTTTTTTGTCTCAGCATATTTCTGTCTCCATTGAAACCATGGGTTTTTCCTGAACTATTTATCCAGTGGTCGTGTTCGATGCTCGTTAATATGCAAGACCAAGAGCCTCCTAGCAAGTTGCTGTTCTTTATATTTGAAGAATGACAATGTCCTGTGATGTACAAATTTCTCTAGACAACAGAAGAAGGGTGTGATTTAAAAGTTATTGATGGGTGGGATTTAAATAAAGTTCATACTAATGATCAGTCATTTGTTTCATTGGACACAGATGTCACAGACAAAAAGCATGTGTTCACTACAACACACCAAAAGAAATCCATTGCGTCAGTGACAATGAATACTCACAATTTTCTCTTTAACTTCCTATGTATATGCATATGTATATATGTGTGTATATATACAAATATATAGATACATATGTACAAAACAAAAATGCTGCTGGCCTATGTTTCTACACATAAATACATTATAATAACTTGCACTGTGAGGCAGACAATTTGTTCCCAATCACAAAATTTTGTATGCGTGTCAGACACAAAGCTACTAGGGAGCCATTACTTCTAATGCCACTTTTATAAATATGACTTATGACATTAAAGAGGAATCTCTACACACATGCAGTTCAGCAACAGATCACATGTTTCTAAAATACATCAGTTTTAAGGCAAAGCCAAAATACACAATTGAACAAAACATTGCAAAAATCCATTTGCAAGCATTCGGCAACACCCAAAAATGTACGTACATTTTTTACAAATTCATTGAGCTTATGCTGATCACAAAATCAAGCAATTAAAAAAAAAAAAAAAACAGAAAAAAAGAAATTAACAAAGAAACTAAAGAGGATTGGGAAAGGAACTGGTTAACTATTGGGTTTGACCTTAACTAAGAAAGGTACAAACTAAAGCAGGTACTCTTTAGATAGGGAGATGAAGAAAAATCATTTTTAACTGACCTTACTATTACATAGTACAGGCTACTATGATCTTAATAAAACATACAAAAATAATAATTTTGAAGGAAATTTGATGAGCTAGTCTAAACAAACTCAGTTTCTTGGGTCAACATGACAAAAATTCGAAAAAGCAGTAAATCCTAACTGGGCATGAAGACCTCGAATGATAAGCCGAGTAAAATTTCGTAACTTAAACAAGCTAAGGGTTGGCAATCTGACCATTCACTTGGAATACAATAAAGTTCTTGCATGAGATATGTAAAATGGAAGCTCTGGCATAATATAGTTAAGCAAATCACTTGCAGACAAGAAGAAATTCACAACTGGTTCAATCAAACAGTATTTAGAAGAAAATTAGTGATTAATTTCTTGGTCCTGCTGATGTGTAATATTCTTAGGCAATTCAAGGGTGGATAGGTTAACATAACTTTCCACAACTTACTTTTGAAAAAGCTTTTTGTTAAGCTTGCTTGATAACACTATCAGTTAACGTGGACCAATATTTGTTCCTGGATTAGCCACTGTCACAGAAATGCAACGATGACAATGAATGATGAATGGCTTCAGCAATTTAACTAACCATTCAAAATCATTTAGACAAAAGCAGTTGTTGAGCAACTGCTTTATCTCATTTCAGCATGAAGCACAAAGGAGAAAAATTAATGATTGATGTACATGATCTGTATACATGATATGCTCTTTGGTCGATCTAACTCAGTTGCTCACAGGGATAATTTTCTATTGATAGCCTAACTTTCCTTTTGAGTTGCATTTTTGCAGAAGAAATAGAAAAAGGTCTTTCAAAACCTTTTAATGTGAAACTTCTGTTTCAGTCTTACTAAATGTTACATTAATCGGAGATTGGCACATAATTTACACGATACAGGGCTACTTGAAGTCAAAATTGAGAAGTATAAGGGAAGTAAAGAGGCAAATCATCTTAAGCTGAGTTGACTATGATAGAGACCAAATCCTTAAAATCAGGCAACTGCTCAATAGAAATGCACAGATATCACAAAAGATACATGATATGTTCTGTGCCTTTTCAAAAGGGGGGAAAAAATTACATTTAAATTATGTACACCCTCAAAAGCAAATACAGTTTGTGTAAAATTTTGAGTCGCCCATAAAAATTTGACAATAACAAAAAAAAAAAAAAAATTATTTAAGGTAAAAATTTATGGAATAAACACTACCTAATTTTCACTAATCTATCACATCACAAGCAAATGTCCCTTGCCTTGCCACTCTCCTAGTACCACAGTCATTCACTGTCGCTACTGCATCAACTACCATAAAATTCAATGATAAACCTGAAAGCCTCAATGCTTCCTGATTTTCTTTACTTATCATATGTAGGGCTTAATTATATACTAAAAGTGATGGAGAGGCTGTCTTTTCACTTAGTGTCTCAAAACCAAAGCAGTTCTCGTGATGAGCATCTCACATTATGTTAAGGAGGAAACAGAGAAGAATGACACAAAATTTGAGCAAAGCTTTATCTCCTGGTCACCTGTTGGCAGGTGGGTGAAGAGACTGTTCTCCATATACTAAATCAGTCTTGTTAGGCACTTCACACACACTAGACCTGCTGTCTGTCTTCTCTTGCAATTCATGAGCTCCTTCTTGATGTCCTAATCTCCTATCAAGTACACCTGGTTCTGTTTCTTGCGGGAAAAGAGTACTCCTGCTAAGCATTATGCATTGACCATTCAGTGATCTAAATTTTAGATCAGCAGGGGCTGGAAAGCTATAGTTGTTTTTATTCATACCACTATTATTACCATCTTTTGTTAGGCCTACTGACGATCCTGGAAAAGGCACTTTATCTGACTGCAAATCCATCTTTGTTACAGTATTCACGAAGCTAGGCAATCCGTTCGATCCAGGAGCTGGATAATGTGACGAAGGGAATATGCGAGCACCTGGAGCAGAGGCTGCAGCCACAACTGCAGCTGCTGCAACTGCTGCCGCTGCCGCCGCTGCAGCTGTAGTGTTGTTTCTAGGCACACCTTGATCTTGCTTCACAAAATTTTTCATGGACTGGTGGGAAGTTACAACGGATGGAGCTGGCTGCACTGGAAGCTGCTGCTGAGGAGCTTGTGTTTGTTGTTGAGAAGATTGTTGCTGTTGAGACTGTTGCTGAGATGGTTGTAGAGTTGATTGTTGAAGTGGTTGTTGGGATGGTTGCTGGGTTGAATGTTGAGGCGGCTGTTGAGTAGATTGTTGAGGTGGCTGGGGTGGTGGCACTTGGGATGTCTGGTTCTGGACTTCTTGTTGAGGAGTGTTGTCCTCTTCTCCTGTATCAACAACATCTGGGAATGGGATGCCATGAAACATGATAGGTTCTCCTTCATCAGAAGACTCCTCTATGTCACTAGCTGTTGTTTCTGGCTGCTTCCACTGGTTTAACTTTGTGGGATCCTTTTCACATAGTTTTTTAGCTAATACCTAAAACAAAAAGAAAAGCAAAATAGAAATTACACTTTTTAGACAAAATCTAAAAATATTGACACAGGATCAGGGAAAATGCTTGTATCAATGAACTCACCAATAAACTTTCAAGAGAACTATCACAGTCAGTAGTATCAACTTCATTGATATTGACACCGGAGCGTTCAATCTCAGCGTAAGTGCCAAATGGCAATTTGCCAACACATTCTAGTTTCATAATGTGCATCTTTGATCGAAGATGCTTTGCAAGATGTCCATGTATACGGAATGCACTTTTGCAGTCATCACATTTGTAAGGCCTCGGATTAGTAGTTGTTGGTGTCCCAAATGTAGAATTCATGCTCACCTATAGAGAGAAGAATGATATCAATAACAGTATTAAATATTAGATCTATGGTTTGTTTATGAGTGTACTCAATATATTTTACCTTATTATGATGAGATACTGATCGTTCATGCTTCTGAAGATGGCCCCGTGTTCGGAAAGAAACTGCGCAAGCATCACAGCGGTATGGACGTTCAAAATAATGTATGTTGACATGAAGATGCAACTGACTTGGCTTTGAAAATACTTTGTTGCAGATGGTGCATTTACTTCTTCCATCTTCAGTAACACTACAGAACAGAACAAATATGTGAACATTCATGTCACATTAACAACTAAAATAAGCAGAGAGAACATCTTAAAAACAAACTCTACCTGACATAGCTGGGTGCAGGGCCACTGGATGGGGGCATGAACTCTGCCTTGGGTTTTTTGATTAGATTGGTTGAAGGAGGGGGAGGGGAAGAAGTGCCAGAGGAGGCAACTATAACACTGTTCGAAGACAGAAGAGATCCAGTTGTGGAGATGGGAAGTGCCACCTCATCAGTAGGCTTTGCAGATGACAATACTGTGTCACTTCCACTTGATGACACAATGGCTATCACAGATTGAGTTGAATTGTTTTTATCATCACTTGGTTGCGATGGAACCAGAGCTTCAGGCTTGACATCCTGTGTTGAGCTTGCATCAACACCTTGTGCAGCATGATGATGCGTATCTGCTCCAGCATCTGTCTCACTATTTTCTCTAGACCTGGAACTCATGGCATCCACCAGTTTTACAGATGAGATGGAATGCAGGGAGGCTAATGTTGTCAAAGGCTTGACAGGTGACAGAACAGTTTCTTGCTTCACAGACACAGGAGATGCAGGTAGAGTCGCCACATATGATATACTTGACACACCTCCAACATTGGCATTTGTGTTACTCTGGCCTAAAGTCTCTACAGTATTGGCACAAGAGTTTGGTAGTTTCAAATCAATTTCACTGGCTTTCACAGATTTCTGCAGAGCCCATACAAGAGGTGGAGGCCTTGGGATGGCACTTTCTTGACAACTGGTACTGATGTGAGATGAGACCAGCTGGGAGACGGAAGTGAAAGTTGTTGTACATGAAGAGTTGCGTACCGAGTCCGCAAGAGACATTGCATTAGAATATGATAAAGTTGGGGTACCACTGGATGTTGGTGTTCCAGGGGTTCCAACAGGAGTCAGGACATCGGCACCCTCTTTAAGCAGCCTTGGATGATACTGGCTCTGCTTCACACGAGCATCTTGCACTGCTCTTTCACGTAAGTAAGTCTGGAGAAGAGCTGAATCTTGATGGGGGTCCCTTGGTGTGGCTAAACTGAGGGGGAGTTTCTCCATTGTGCTGCATAAAGATGCCAGTAAAAAGGCAGGTTCTGACACAGGAGTAAGTATTTCTGATATAGGTGTAGTGGGAGTACGAGGAGCGACTGACAATTGCATTGGTTTTAGCAAAGAAGGCATTCTTCTGCTTGTAGTACCCAATTTAACTTGACTGGAGTTGTCATCACCATTCACTAAGTCCCCTGTAGCTTGGGTTTCAGATTCATTGGACTCTTCTTTGATGGAATCTGAAACTATGGCACTGCCACCTCCAACATCACGACTAGATGGGAAATAGTAACGCTGATGTCCATCTCCTATATTCAGCTCTGCCAAGGGCTTGGTTCCATCTTCCACATAGACACCTTGTTCGTGAATATCTCGTGCAAGTCCAGTGTTGTGAGATACCTAAGAGTAACAATGTAAATTGAGATGAGAAAATTTGGCGTAAATGGACGAATAAATATTTCTTCAGTCATTTCAACCTTACCTTCTCTCTTTCCTTGTGCTCACTTATTGCAGAAAGAGTTGGAGTACCGGGAATAGATGAGGTTATTCTTCTTGGATGCTCAGGAGATAGCCTGTAAGGGTATGTACTGAGCCCTCGAGCACCTTTAGGGGCCACAAGTCCTGCTTCCCGGGCCTCTTTTTCCTTTGCTCTGTCACTCCCAGGGGAGGGATGAGGAGTCTGAGCTAGAGAAAGCAGTGATCTGGCAGCTTCCCGCTCTTGACGTTTTTTGATATCTTCTGTTCAAATTTTAAGAGACATGTAAGTTTATGAAATCATACTTAAGACAATTCTAGCACAAATCATCCATAGCAACAACTCACCATCCGCATCCTCATAATCATCCTCCTCATCATCTTCGTCATCGTCGTCTTCGTCATCATCGTCTTCTTCATCCTCAATGTCCTCAGAGTCTTCCGCATCCTCTTCTTCACCACGATTTCCTCGAAGAGCTTGTTGCCTTTCAAGAGAAGCTGCATCAATGTAGCTATCGTCAACAACAGTTGGCACTGGAATGATATTCATCTCTACACATTTCTTATAATGTGCTTTGGATTTCATGTGCTTTGTTAAGTTGCCTTTGGTTTTGAAGCTGGAAAAAAGAAAAACCACATTAGGAAATTGAAGAAAAAACTGACAAAGTAGCAAAAAATACATTGATTTAATTACCTGAAGCTGCAATGTCTACAAGTAAAAGGCCGAACATCTGTATGAGTGCGAATATGTTTCTTTAACATGGATGGTTTCTTGCATCTTATTCCACACTCCCCACAAACATAGCGACCTCGACCTAGGGAGCAAAATAACAAGGAGAAAAGATAAACAGTCAGAAAAATTAGAGGTCATTGAGATTCAATCAAAATTAATATTAAGAAGACACAGGATGCATACCTCTTCCCCGGATGTATGTGTACTCTTCATATGACTCAAAACCACCAGCAAATATTTTAATCCTCTTGGGTGCATTGACAGCTTCATCACCAGCCTTTAAGAAAATAGTCAAAATGAATATAAGGTGACAAAACCTCATTTTAAAAAAACAAGGCAAAATTTTGGCTTGAGTACTCACATCCTGTGCGGGATCCGTCTCTTTTTTGACACGACTCAACCAGTAGGAGGAGTGTGTCAACTTCATTGTATTCTTGCCACCAGCAACAGTGTTTTCGAAAGGTCTGTGGCGCGAGTCATACATGGCAATTGCTTCACTCGGTGTCAATCCACAAGGATTAGGCTCAGGATCATAAACCTGAAAGAAGGTCCAATTTATATAATGCATTGTTCCGCGACACTTGCGAAAGGAAAGGGCTACATTACACACAACAAATTCCATACCTTCCAGTTAGAATACATTGACAGCTTGCTGTGGTCAGGACTGAGTTCAACATATGTTGGCTGCAACCGATTCAGGGTACAGAAGTATGGACGAGTGGAACATTTCAAGCCAAGATAGGTATAAGCATGGCCGTTTAGGTAGAGTTGTCCATAAGACTTTTTGGGCCTTGGGGTCTCAGGGCTAATGAGAGGAAGAACATTCGGGGTAATTAAAAGTCGTTTCGGTGTATATGTTCCAGGCTTCAGGGGCAATGATGTAGGCCTCATTGTGGGCCTCAGGAAACGATTCCCTTGAGCTGCTTCTGAAGTTGTAGTTTTACTGCCTGCTTCTTTTGATTCCTCAATCACATCTTGAGCCTGTAATGTTAAGATTAACATTAGTGGATGGAAAGACACATGGAAAAAGAACATCAGGCACTAAGTTAAAACTCACCACACTGGTGCTTGACATCTTGGCCTTCTTTTCCTCCAGGTCTTCCCTGTCCTGGGTGAAGGGGCGCTTCAGAGTCGCTGGGCTGGACGGGCCGGGCAGGCCGGGGTCCTCCGAGGTCGCGGAGGTCGCGGTGCTTGACGGAGGACCAGAGAAGATCCTCGCCGAGTTCACACAGATGCTGGGCAGTCCATCCCGGCGCTGCTCCTCTTTCTTCATGGCCTCCGCGGAGAACATGTGGAAGTTCCGCTTCTCAGCAACAGGGGATGGAGGAGGGGGCGGCGCCAACACGGAGGACGTCGTTGGCGGGTTCGTGGCGACGGGGGCGGGGGCAGGCGCGGGGGAAGGGGTGGCGGAGGGGGCGGACGGCGTAGGGGGTCGACTTCGGACAGCGTGCTGAGAGGTGGGCGGCAACGCAGGCAGCGCAGGCAGCGCTAGCGACAGCGGCGCCGCCTTGACAGGCACAGACGGCGAAGGCCGGCGGAACGGCGCTGAGATGGGCGCCATGGAGGGCGTCATGGTGATGGTGGTGGCCGTCGTGGCGCTCGCCATGGAGGGCGTCACGGTGCTGAAGGCGGCAGGCGGCGGGGCGGACGGCGTCGAGGGCAGGTGCACCTGCGAGGCGGGCCCCGGCATGCCGGGCACGTGAGGGATGGCCCGGCCGCCGTGCACGATGGTCATGACGCCGCCGCCGTACGCCAGGCTGGACGATGATGTCGTCGTGGACGACAAGGAAGCCAGCGTGCTGTGCTGAGCTGGTGCCGACGGAAGCTGAGGGGCTGCCGGCGGTGGCGGTGGCGTCGCCTGAGGCATCGGCGCCGCCGGCAGCGTCAAGGGGTTGAAGGCCGTGATGCTGGTGAGCGGGTTCAGCAGGGAGCCGTCCGCCAGGGCGTGTGGGACGAGGCCCATCATGTGGGCGTGCGAGGCCATGGACGACGCCATGGACGAGGCCATGGATGATGCCATGGACGACGGCATGGGAAGGCTGTGCGCGCTGTGCGCCATGGGGTGGAGTAGAAGCGCGTGCGGGGTGGGGATGCCTTTGATGGCCAAGTTGGGCGTGGCGATGTTGGGGATGAAGGTCATGGCAAGGTGTGTGGCGTCCGCCATGGTGTTGATGCCGAAGAGCGACTTGTTGGCGAGGTCCGCCTTCGAGGTGGACAAGGAAGAGTCCGACGAGGACGCGGGAACGTGCTGCAAGATGGTGCCGCCGCCCGTCTGCAGCCCCGACTTGGCGATCGTCACCACCATCTGCTGCGGAGACGAACTGCTGCGGCTGCCGTCCACGCCGCCGTGGTTCTTCTCGCTGCCGGGCATGCTGCCGATGCCGGACCCGGACGAGGCGCCCGACGGCTCGATGCGCAGCGTGGTCGGCTCGCCCGCCGTGTTGTCCAGGATCTGCACCTGGCCGCCGAACATCTGCAGCGAGTTGGCCGCCCGAGACTGCAGCGGGCTGCGAGACAGGTCGTCCAGACCGCGGAGCGGCGTGGGCAGTGGCGACCGCGACGGCGAGGGTCGCGGCGACGGGCAGGGCGCGCTCATGGCCGCCGGCGACGCAGACATGCGCGGCGACGCCCGCGGCGAGGGTCGTGGCGACGCGCTGGCGCCGCGGTGCTGCTCCACGTGGCCGCCGCCGGAATCCAGGCGCCGCTTCTTGAGCGGCGGGTCGCGGTGGTTGTAGCTGTCCACGAGGGGCGTGTTGCCGAGCAGCGGCCCCGGGGACGGCTGCGGCGGCGCCACGGCCGTGTGCCGCGGCGACTCCGGGAACGCGCCGCTGGGCGGTCGCGGCGGGGGGAACGCCTTGGGGCAGTACATGACGTGCTTGCGGAGCGCCTCGGGGCTGCGGTACGGCGCCTTGCAGCCGTGGCACTGGTAGGCGTACTGGCCGCCCATGAGGTAGGGCGACCCGTCCGCGGGCACGCCGGGCACGTGGTGCAGGCTGGGTAGGGTCGGCAGGGCGGGCATGGAGGGCAGGCCGAGGCCGGCGTCGAAGGGCGGAAGGTAGTGCATGCCGGCCTGGGACTTGAGCAGGATGCCCTTGATGACGGACCCGTCCACGCTGCCCTGGTGGGCGTCCACGTACGACGTGGCGGGGACCCGCCTGAACGCGGAGTCCTGGTCGGCGTGAAGCGTGGTGGCAGCGGTAGGCGCCTTGGTGGTGGCGGCGGGCATCATGGGCTGCAGGTGGTTCATTCCCCGGTAGAGGGCGTGCTGGGTCTGGTGGGGCTGGTGGAGGTAGGTGGGCTGGTGGTGCAGCGGCAGAGGCACTTGAGGCTGGTGGTGCACAGGGGGTTGCTGCGGCGCCGAGCGCTTCAGGGTCAGGTCCAGAGTGCCGTCGGCGTCCACGCTGGCCAGGTCGGCCGCGCTGCCGTTGCTGGTGGGAAACGCCTCGCGGTCCCGCGCCGCCGATCTCGGAAAGGCCAAGGCCGGCTTGGACAGGTTGAGAGGGGCGTCGGCCTGCATGGGCTGCGCGCCCTGCGAGGCGACAGGCGGTGCGGCCGACATGAGCACGGGCCGCGACAGCAGAGGGGAGGCCGGAGCCGGGGGTGCGACCGTCGGGGCGGGGGCGGGCTTGGGCCCCAGCAGCGCCAGGGCCAGCTTCGACTTCTTCTCCGACTCGGCCTGCTCCGCCGTCATGGCAACGGCGTCGGCGCCCTGCGTCCCGCTCATGGAGCGGTACAGGAACTTCTTGTGCCACACGGACGAGGCCGCGGCCGTGGGCGAGGCCGAGGGGCTCTCCACCACCGTGGGAGGGCTGGCCGTCGCCTCGGCCGCCGCCTCGGCCGCCGCCCTGCTCAGCGACCGGCCGTACATGTGGGCCTGCGGGTCCGTCGTCTCCATGATGTGGGCGTTCTCCGAGATGAGCTTGTTGATGTGGCGCTGCACCGAGTCGGGGCTGGGGGTGCCCGGGCCGTGGCCGGGGCCGAGGCCGGGCGTGGAGGACTGGCTCGGCGGCAGGTCCGGTCCGGGCCGAGGCCCAGAGCCGGGCCCGGACTCCACGCCGTCAGGGTTGGTCACCATCTCCTCGGTGGACGGGCTGTACTGGAAGGCGGCGGGGTGGAACTTGGGCTTGTAGATGTTCCGCGGCGCGTTGGGGGGCTCGGGCTGCTCGGCCTCGGCGCGGCCGAAGGACTGGCCGGGCAGCGCGCTGCTGGGCGTCGCCACGGGGAGAGGCATGGCGTCGTCGCCGCCGTCGCTCGACACCTCCTCGTCCGCATCCTGCGGCAGCACCGGGAACTTGGACGGGTCGGCGCCCTCCTCCTCCATCTTGAGCGTGTGCGCGCGCGAACGGCAGTGCTTGTACAGGTTGCTCTTGGTCTTGAAGGAGAAGCCGCACGGGGTGCAGGGGTAGGGACGTTCGCCCGTGTGCGCGCGGATGTGCTTCTCCAGGACGCTGGGCTTGAGGCACGCCAGGTTGCAGTACGGGCAAACGTGGCGGCCCGGCGCCGCGCCCTCCGAGTTTGTACTCTCAGGTATCACACTACTTGCAGTCTTGGTGCCCGGGCCCGCGGCCCCCACGGCCCCCGCGGCCCCGGCCGCCCCCGCCCACGGGCCGCCGACGGGCGTGTCTCCCGCAGTGGCCGGCGGCGCGGGCGGGGGGTGCCCGTTCACCATGGGGGTGGCGGGCGCGACGGCGGGGGCGGGGGAAGCCACCTCCGGCGCCTCGTCCATTTCAACCACCTTCTTGAACTTCTTGTGCAGGTACTGCTTGGCATCCTGGTTGTTGGCGCTCCGCACGCCATTTCCCTCGGGCTCATCTGCGAGAAAAACAAAAGTTTCCAATGAATAAATCGTCCCCCTCGCTTCGTCCGTCCGGGCGAAGGCGCGCCTAGGCGGTCCTTGTCCTCACCGTTGCTGATGACGGCTGCAGTCTTCTTCTTCCTTCCCTCAGTCAAGGCAAGGCGCTCTTCGCGCTCCTGCTGCTCCGCCTTCTTTCGTTTCTCCTGGAGTATTTCCTGGATGATTCGCTGCTGCTGCTGCTTTATGGTTTGTGCCGACCCTGCAACACAGAAACAGAGCTGATAACGACTCGGCCACGTCGTCCCGTCTCGGTGGCGATCCACTAGAAAAACAAAAGCAACAATACGGAATGGCTCGGCCATTATTGGGTGGACGAACTCCCACGCAGTTAGACGTCGCCGAGACTGTCTGCCTGCCCGGCTGTCCGTCCGGCCCGTCCGGCCTCAAGGCGATGGGCAAGGGCAGCGGCGCCTGGCGGGCAGGCAGCCCCACGGGCAGCACCATGGGCACCAGGCTCATTCCGCACAGTGCTTTCGTCGCTGTCTCTCTCGCACTCGTGGGGTGCCCCGCCGAGAGACAGCGACAAGACACTGTGCGGAATCGCCCTACTGGCGAGGTTCATATGGACGACCATTCGTGATTCATGAGGGAGGTCCGTCCGTGGGGCTGCTGCTGGCTGGCCCCGCGCACTGACAGAATCCGAGCCGGAGGTCTCTCTCTCTCTCTCTCTCTCTCTCTCTCTCTCTCTCTCTCTCTCTCTCTCTCCTCACTCACTCACTCACTCACTCACTCACTCACTCACTCACTCACTCACTCACTCACTCAAAGAGCGCTCCGTGAGGGTGCGAGAGAGACAGAGCGGCGTAGCTCGGGAATCACTCTGCTGGTGGCTAGCCGGGCTGGCCGGGCTCGCATAGTGGCCCCGCGAGCCCACGCAGCCAGCCTTCCCTTCGGCCTTCGACACAGACGTGACGCGCCCAAAGATGAACGAGATAAGGGGCGCTAAAGAGAAAACAAGGGAGAGCCGCAGAGGGAGCGAGAGAGAGAGAGAGAGAGAGAGAGAGAGAGAGAGAGAGAGAGAGAGAGAGAGAGAGAGAGAGAGAGAGAGAGAGAGAGAGAGAGAGAGAGAGAGGAGCCAAAGGGGTGGAGAAGGGGCGGGAGGAGAGGAAGGGAAAAGGGGGGGGGGAGCGCGCGAAAGGCCAGGCCCTGGCCGGGCCGTGGCGCCTGCGAGACGCGTTGCCATGGCGACCGAGCGCCACCCCCGCCGCACGCCGCGCCACTCGCCGCGCCACCCCCGCTCCGCCCGCAGCGCAGCAGCGCCCTGTTGACGGGACGGGGCGACACACAGCCTGGCAGCCTCACAGTGGCGCGGGAAGGGAAGGGAATCCGATCGCCGCCTTCGCGCGCGCACATTCCCACGCAGAAAACAACCCCGCGGTGCGCTCGGCTTCGCTGCACTGCTAGCCCTGGCGCCCTGGCCGAGCCACCCCGCCACCCGCAGACTGATTCGGGAAGTCTTCTTCGTCGCTCTCTCTCTCTCTCTCTCTCGCACCCGCATACGGGTCACCCCATGAGTGCGAGAGAGAAGGAGCGACGAATCCGACTCTGCAGGAGCAGCGCATCGCGTTCAGTCCATACGCAGGGTTTATACAAAAAAATAGTGAGAATTTCCCTGACTTTTCCCTGATTTCCCTGAAATTGCAAATTTCCCTGACATTTGAGCGCATCAAAACATTGATTGAGTTGAACTCGAACGGCCGGTGTCTCGCGCTCTCCTCCGCAGTTGTCCAGCAAACAGGTCCAGTGTCGCAGCAAATATATTTTTCCCTGACATTCTGCTGCATTTTGCGAAATTCCCTGACATTTCCCTGATTTCCCTGACCCTATTTTTTTCCCTGACTTTTCCCTGATTTCAAGGTTTTCAAGGTTTGTATAAACCCTGATACGAAGAGTATTGAACCCGCGTCCTGCAGCACGTGGCGCGGGGGAGGGAGGGGGAGGGGAGGAGGGGGCAGGGCTGACTCACACAGACTTATCACTCGGCCGCCACACTGTGCCGCCACCCGCCACACAACAGGCACCATTATCAACACAGTCGCGGACTAGACGGCGGCGAGGGCAGGGCAGGCTTCCCCCGTCCTGCCGTCGCGCGGTCCTGCACACTGAGAGTCGCTTCATCGTTCTGTCTCTCTCGCACTCAGAGGGGCGTCCCTTGTGGGTGCGAGAGAGACAGAGCGACTCTCGGAGTCTGCCTGCAGCCCCCGGGCGGCAGGCAATCCGCGAAGCATCGAGCCACCCCGGCGCACAGTGGGCCAGAAGACCGGTGGAGGCGGCCAAAACACTAGACGCGTTTTGAGCTCCAGAGTCGCTAAACAGGACTCGAACCGAACGTGTGACCCCATCAATGGATTGCTCTCCGAACGAGGAATCCATCGATGGGGTCACACGCTCGCTTCGAGTCCTGTTTAGCGACTCTGGAGCTCAAAACGCGTCTAGAGTTTTGGGCCGCCTCCACCGGTCCTCTGGCCCACTGTGCGGCGCCACGGCGAGCACACTGCATAAGCGCGCGGCGGCAGTCGAGCGATTCCGGGGCGCGCACTCATCGCTCCGTCTCTCTCGCACTCATGGAGCGTGCCATACAGGTGCGAGAGAGACAGAGCGATGAGTGCGCGCCCCGGAATCGCTCGACAAGCCTGGCAGGCCCGGCAGGCCGTGCAGCTCGTAATGAGAAAGCGCAGAGCACCTCGCTGGGACGCTGCATACGTCATTTCACACTGTGGTCTCCCCCTCCCTCCCTCCCTCTCTCGCCCTCAAGGGGAGCGGAGCGAGAGAGACAGAGCGTTGTTCGGAATGAATCTGCAGGATCCGCCCCTGGCGCGGGGAGAACGCGCGGACCGAACAGCCGTCATCGTCATCATCAGCGTTGTTGGGCCTCAGCACACTTTTCAGGGCTTGACGAAATAACAGTGTAGTGCACGCACACCCCCAACAGCCTCCAGCACGGACGCGGACACTCCACGACGGCCAAAACCCCAAAGCGGTCCTCTCATCGACTCCCTGGGCGAGTTCCACGAGGTGGCGAGGTTGTTGGCGGATGCCAAGGCGGGCACAATGCCCCCCGCAGCGCCACGTCTGGGTGCTCGGCGGCACACTGGCGGTACGCGGTACACTGGCGATACGTCCGCGTTCTCGCTTCCCCGTCGTCCAGCAGCCCGAGACCGGCGGGCGAGCCCGCGGGCTGAAGCCGCTCCTCTCGCACTCATGGGGCGTTCGGCAGGGATGTGAGAGAGAGAGAGGGAGAGAGAGAGAGAGAGAGAGAGAGAGAGAGAGAGAGAGAGAGAGAGAGAGAGAGAGAGAGAGAGAGAGCGAGAGAGAGAGAGAGAGAGAGAGAGAGAGAGAGACAGCGCGGCGAGGCACTATTCGCGGAACCTGCCTGCGGATCATTTATCAATGCGAATGTGAATCAGTGCCAAAAGAAACGATTGCCGCGACTCCGGGCGCGAGAGACAACGAAAGCGGACGTCAGGGGCGAACTCGGGGCGCGGGGTATAGACGGGGTCATACTCCTTTTCGAGGCCGATAAGTGCAAACCTGCTTCAGGCCAGAGTGCCCCCGACAGGGCGAAAGGCACCCCCGCGCCCCCCGCCCAGATCGGGGGAACGGGGGGGGGGGGGGGAATCCAGTAGGGGGGGCGAGGGGGGCAAAAGGACCATTGATCCCCTTCGCCTTTAGATGGCCGCCTGAAAGGTAGGCACAAGGCCACCCTTTACCTCTGCAAGTGAGCACAAAAAGTGCTACTTTACTTTGTTTGCCCTTCCCTCAGGCCGCCCCTGTGGCGAAATCATTCGGCATGGTTGGCAGCAGTTGGCGGCGCGCCCAACAAGCCTTCCAGTGCCTTCCAGCCCGGCGGACCACAGTGGGCCAGCGGAGCGGCCAGGGGCGTAATGTCAATACGGGCGAGGAAGGCCAGGGCGGCCAGATCGGGCCAGGTAACAAAACACCCTCGCCCCGCCATGGCCCGCCAGCCCTTGGACAGCCCTTGGGCGACCGGGACCGGGACTGGCGGGCCTGGCCGGGGGAGTGCGGGGGCAAGTGTGTTATAGAACGCGTAGGGGGTGGAAGACAGGGACCCACGAGGCAGGGCAGGGGCCGCCAGGGGCGGGCAGGGGCGGGCCCGGCCAGTGGTGGGGGGTGAAAGGAGGAACAAAGCAGTGAGAGGAGATGAGGTTAAACACAATGGAAGGAGAAGGAAGCGTCGAGGAGAGAGAGGGAGAGAGAGAGAAAGAGAGAGGGGATGGAGGGGGTAGCTGCTAAGCAGAGGGGCGGCAGCAGACAGGGCATAACCTGTGGCTCGCTGCCCCCACCAGCCGCAGCGCTGCCAGTCGACCGATTCCGGAAAGTGGTGGCGTCGCTCTGTCTCTGTCGCACCCCTGCGGCGCGCCCCGCGAGTGCGACAGAGACAGAGCGACGCGGCGACTCTTCGGCATCAGTCTGCCGAGAAGAGCCGGAACCGGGCAGCGAACGAAGAGGGGAAGGACAGGGAAGGGCTGACATCAAAGGCAGCCCCCGGCCGTCCGTCCGCCCGCCGCCTCCGCCGCCTCCGCCCTCGCCGAGTCCGAAGCAGAAGGGAGTCTCCCCGTCTCCCTCAAATCTCCTTGCTTCCCCCTTCGGGCCCTTCGGCCTGCTCGCGAACCCGTCGAGTTCACAGGGAGAGACGAGCGGAAAGGATTCGCAACGCGCGGAGTTCACTGTTATTCGCGCGGAAACGCAGTGCTCGCCGCTTGCCGCCACACCCGTTCTAGGAACCGAGCACCGGGGGGGACCACAAACGATCGGATTTCAATGGAACACATACAGCACTGCTCGGAAACAAGTCAAACTGACCGGGAACGCCTGAGTGTTTGCTGTTCGCTGTGCATAAAGCACTGCTCAAAGCCCGCGCGCTCGACAGGACTCGCGGCTGGGAGTAACCGGTGACCAAAGAGCGACCATGGAATGACCAAGGAGAGACCTAGGAGTTACCAAGGAGTTACCTAGGAGTTACCAAGGAGTGACCTAGGAGTTACCAAGGAGTTACCTAGGAGTTACCAAGGAGTTACCTAGGAGTTACCAAGGAGTTACCTAGGAGTTACCAAGGAGTGACCTAGGAGTTACCAAGGAGTGACCTAGGAGTTACCAAGGAGTGACCTAGGAGTTACCAAGGAGTGACCTAGGAGTTACCAAGGAGTGACCTAGGAGTTACCAAGGAGTTACCAAGTA